GAGTTACTTAGATTATATATAATAGCCTACCTTAATAATATCCTAATTTATTTAGGAGGAGACTAGTTTAACTATATAGAAAAAGTAAAGTGTGTACTTATACTATTAAAAGAAGCAGGACTACACCTAGACTTAGAGAAGTGTGCGTTTAGTGTTAAGGAGGTACGCTACCTAGGCTATATTATTAAGGCAGGTAAATTACTTAGACCTAACCCTAAAAAGCTTAAGGTAGTATAGGAATAGGAATCCCCTAGGAATATAAGAGAGGTAAGGAGTTTTCTAGGTTTTGCTAACTTCTACTATAATTTTATTATAAAGTTTTCTAAAGTAGCAGCACCTTTAAACTAACTAACTAGGAAGAATACCCTATTCTAATAGGGAGAGGAAGAATAAAGTATATTTAATACGCTAAAAAAGGCGTTTATATTAGGACTAGTATTAATATAATAGGACCTAGCTAAAGAAATATTATTAGAAGTACACTATTTAGGATATGCTCTTAGGGGTTGCTTATTATAAAAAGTTAGGGGTGTCTAGCGCCTAGTTATTTACTACTCTATAGTACTAATGCTAGAGAGACAAAACTATACTATATATAACAAGGATTTACTTACTATTATTAAGTATCTTAAAAGTTAGTTAGTAGAGTTATAGAGCGTTTATAAGCTGTTTACAATATTTATAGACTATAAAAACTTAGAGTACTTTACTAGCCTTTAAAGCTTAAGCAAGTAATAGTGCTACTAGGCAGAGGAACTTTTAAAATATTAGTATATCCTACAGTATAGGCCTAGCTATCTTATAGGATAACCTAATACCTTAAGTAGATAACTATAAGATTTAAACTCCTCTAAAGTAATACTATAGTTAGTAATATGCCCTAAATTAATTTAGGTTGTAGTATTAGAAGTAGAGGAGGTGTCTAAGTTACTAAAGGGCGCTAGCCTCTTTGCTAACCTGTATATATAGACACTATAGGACAAAGTAGTACTAGAAGATAAGATATACTAAGTACGTCTTAATACAGTTTAGAAAGGCGCTAGGTCTTTCCTAGTTTTAGCTAATATAAAGTAATAGATTAGGGACTATACAATTAGCGCACACAGTACTTTGCTCTAGAGGGGTGTTATTTAGTTACTAATATAGGAACCCCTTATAACTACTATTATATAGCAAGGATATAAATTAGGTTTAGTAGGATATCTAGGAAAGAATATAATATTTTAAATACTACGCTATAACTATTATTAGGATAGAATATTAGGAGACGTTGCGTAGTATGTTTAAAACTGCTATTATTATAGTGCTTATATCTCCTAGAAGCGCTAATAGGGTCTATTGTAACCTATACTAGTTACGTTATAATACTAGTCCTAAATATCTATAGATTTTATAGTTAACCTACCTATAAAAGATAATAGCAAACCCTAGTCCCTATTAGTTATTACTAATAGATTATCTAAATATATTTAGCTTAAAGTAATAGTCTCTATAGTAGCTAATTATTATATAAGGATCTTCTAGGATAACTAGTAGTAGTTCTAGGGCTTCCTATCCTCTATTATTACTAACTAAGGCTTAGACTAGTTAGGATCCTTCTAGATAACATTATACTAGATAATAAAGATAAACTAGTTACTATGTACTATATACTACCCCTAGATAGACAGCGGGACAGAGCGGGCAAACTAAGAAGTGCAGGTAGTACTACGTATAATAGTATACTTTAAGCAGACTAACTAGCCTAATTACCTACTAGCCTACTAACTTATACTTAATAATAGGGACTCTAGTACTACTAGTATTAGCCTAAATCTACTTTTAAATAGGTATACTATAGAAATACTATAAAAGATAATATTACTACTAGTAAAGCCTAAGAATCCTTATAGAGAGGCTATAACGTTCTTATTACACCTATAAAGGGGTGTAGAGCTAGTGTAAGCTACTATTACGTTCTAATAGTAATAATAATAGGAAGTAATAAACTAGTCTTAACGCCTAGCTAAAAAGTTCCTAAAAGGTAATATAGTTTAGTTTATAATATATAATATAAAGATAAACTAACTAAGTAAAAAGTTTAACTAGCTATAGGTTAAGTATAAAGTAATAGAAGTCTCTACTCTACTTATAGTAGTATTAGACTTACTAGGGAACTTGTATAAGACTATGTATATAGATCTGCTAGAGAGAGCTGCTAATAACCTACTACTAAGCTAGAAGCTTTAGGACTTATAACTAGGCCTAATAGTTACTCTAGAAAATAAAGACGCAATACTAGATAAATAGGAAGTAGAAGAGATCCTTTATGCAAAGAATATAAGAGGAAAAGGGAAGTATTAAGTCCTAGTAAAATAGAAGGGGTATATTAATCTAATATAGCACCCGCTAGAGGTAGTGTAGGATACTAAGGCTCTAGATAGGTTTAAGGAAAAGTATAGGGATATTACGCATAATAATAGCCTAATGCGTATAAAAGCTAGGAAGTAAGGGTAGAAGAAAACTAGAATAATAACTTAGACCTTTGTTATAATTAAGAATTAGAAAGGTATTAGAGATATCTTTTATTTATCCTTATAATACTCTAAGTAAGTGCCCTACTACTAAAGTTTTATAAGGTAGCTAATAATTAGGTAGTAGTATCTATACTATTACTATCTATAACTAACCCCCCTTTAGCCCCCCCTAAACTATTATTTATATTATCCTAACGCCTCTACGTCTCTTAGCAATAGTAGTAACGCTTACGCGTGGTGTAGGTAGGGAAGGACTTAGTTAATAAGTACAAGCGATAGTAGTAGTAGTAGTAGGAGGAGGGTAGTGCTTTAATAGTTTACTAACGTGTAGCACCCTAGGCCTAAAGAAAGTAAATATTAGAATATATAAAGGGAATAAAGGGAAATTAATACTAATAATAAGAGTCTTAATACTATAAGTAGTGCGCTTAGTAGCGCTTTTAAGCTTATTAATATAAAGGTTAGTTTAGGCCTAGGTCTTATTTATACGCTAGTTAATACGCTAGAAGGTAATACTAGTAGTAGTAGTAAGCTATATAACATTGTTATTACTATAACTACTATATAAAGGCGTAATAGTAGACTAAAGTAGAAATACTAGAGCACTAGTAGTAGATAGAATAATAGTACTAAGCTAATACTAATTATAGGCGCGTAAGTAGGTAGTAGGGGCAAGTAGGGTAATAGTATTATTAGTTTAAGCCCTTAATATAAGATCCTTAAAATAATAGTAGAGCTAGTAAAACTATAGTATAAACTAGTAATAGGTGCCTTTAGTAGGTTTCCTTATAAAGGTGCTAAGGGTCCCCTTCTTTATAATATAGAGGTAATCCTCCTAGTAACTATAATAAAACTAAAGCTAGTTGCAAAGGGCTTAGCAAATATTAGGATTATTAGTAAGGATAGCTTCTAATTAAGTATAGGTCTTATAGCTATAATAGCAGGACTTATATAAGTGCCCTAGATATAGTTAGAACTTATAATAAAGAAAATAAAAATTAAGGGGAACTTACTACTACCTTCCTAATAGTTACACTTACTAAAGAGATAAAGCTAGTTAATATACTAATTATAGAGAAGTGGCTTTATAAAACTACTATTATATTCTTTATTATCTAAGTTACTAGAAATAATAAAGCTACTAAGTAACTATATTTAGGGAGATATATGCTAAGCAAAAAGTTAATATAGGAAATATAGGGAGAATATTAAAAGTACGCACCTTATCTTAGTAGGCCTAGCGTAGGGTCTAACTGCCTTATAGTAGATCCCTACTACTAGCACTAGTAGTAGTAGATAAGGATATAATAAGGGCTAGATAGGCAGGATTTAATAGAGAGAGAGTAAAGAGAGGGCTAATTAGTAGGGAAAATCTGTTATATAACAAAGTAAGTTTAGGAAATTTATAGTAGGGTAGGATAGCTATATTAGAACTTTTATAGTAGGGTACTAAAATAAGTATATAGATACTACACGCGCGTACTACTTAATATATAGGCCTATTATAAATTAGGAAGGAATATAAAGATATAATAATAAAACTAAAAAATATAGTAATAAAGCCTAATATAGATTATAGAGGATAAAGATATAACCCTAGACCCCTAGAAAGATAATTTCACGATAGTTTATAGGGGAAGGTTAGGGGTATGTAAAGGGCTTAGGCTTATGCCTAAGCCTAGGTCTAACACAAGATAGACTAAGTCTAACACTACTACTAAGTGAACACACTAGACACCTATAAAAAGGCGTAGAGGGCTTACCTCTCCTTTAAGATACTAAATACTATTATTAACGCTTATTGTATTCTCCCTTAAGGCCAGTCTATAATATATAAGCTAGTTACTTATAGGGTACGTTATGCTAAAATATAACTAACTCTTCTTAGGCAATTATATAGTTCTAGAATCCTCCTATTATATTATATAATATTTTAGAAAAATCGTGCCTGCTAGATAATAGTAGTACATAGGATATATAGTACTATAACACTAACCTTTCGCTACCCTAATTAAACTCTTTGTGATCCTAGAAGGGCCAATGTTCCTCTAGCTCCTTTCGCTCGTCCTCTGTCTTAGTAGCGTTAAGCATTTGCTGTTTAATACAGCGTTCTTTCTCCCTTGCCTCTTTGTAGGAGTCTGTTAGCACCTATCTATTAATATTAACTCTAATAAAATCGCGCAATTTCTATATTTGTGTATCTGCAATCTTCTACTTTGCGTTAATATTAAGGTAGTTTGTGATATCTGTATTAGGATATTTAATAGGAAAGTTAGTTTCTTTTATTGCTAAAGTAGTAATATTAGGCTAGTAAGTTAATATTTGTATTAATTCTGCTTTAAGTGATATATTATCGCCTTCCTACAGTCTGCTAGCAGTATTATAGAGTCAGTTTCGTATAATAAGGTTATGTTTTCCTATTATATAAAAATAGGGCTTATTGTTAGTACTAGTAAATCCTAGGTAGAAATAGTAGAGCTATTGTCAGCGATAGAGCTCTAACTTATTTGCCTTCTTGCTCTCCTCTAAGAAATTAAAATCTGTAGGCAGCTCTGGACGTTGAAAATTCTCTAAATTGTTATCTCTATAATTTTGGAAATGTTTAGGAATCTTGGCTTGCAGGAATATTAGAAGTATGGTGCTGTGTTGCTAGTTAATAACGCTAGTAATGTCGCTAGATTTAGAGACGAAGATGTTGTTAGGTGAGAGATCTAGATAATAGATTGTTAGTTAATATAACTTAGGATTTTCTGGAATAATGTGTAGAGCAACCTTAAGGTAATCCCTTAAGCTATCTATTTGCACCTGCGGGTTAACTTTTTAACAACTGTAAAATTCTCTATAGAGCGGTTCATGGGGGAAACGTTGCTTGCTAAACTTTTGCAACTAGGCTAATTCTCTATAACTAACTACCTCTAATAGCTCCTTAGGCGTTTCCCCTATATCCTTCTAGTTAATTAAGAGGGAACATAATACGGAGTAAGGGTTCCTTACAAGGTCCTTAATTAATAGCTAGTTTGTCTTGCCTTTAATACCACTAAAGGAATTTAGTAGAAGGCCTAATGCAAAACCTGTCTATTGTGCCACAATTAATAGCTAAGGGTAGGTTAATTGTAGTAGTTTAGGTATCTATAGAGTCTTTAAAGTATATGCTGCTACTAGCAGGAAATTGTATCGCAAATAGCATCCTCTCTATATTAACAATCTTCTCTATAATAGCTATTCTCTCTTTTGCTGTTATTATATACTAAGTATATTCTAATTCCTTACCCTAAACCTTTTCTATAATAATATATTTAGACTAGACTAGATTATCTGTTAATAAACTCTAGTTAAAGACCTTTAGAATTAGTAAACTATGCAGACGTAGATATTCTATTGTAGCAACCTTACTAACAATACTATATTCCTAAGGTACTGTAGAAGGGTATAGAAGTCGCATGATTATATTTATCCTATCTTGAAATATCGCTTTAAAGACATAGAATAAACCACCTTTAGTAATTTTTGCAAAGGTAGTGATTTTATTAATAGAATAACTAATAGACTTGGCAATAGCCTAACAGAGCTTATAAATATTAAAATAACGTTGCCTTTTAGAGAGACGCAAACGCTTGTTGTACCTGCGGTGGTTTTAACCTATTAATTTAAGTACAGAAATATTAAGGTTTATTTACTACTTATAACTATCTACTAGACGTGTAATTATAGAACGTATATTCTAGATTGCTAATACTTAATAATACCTTGCTAGCTTGTAATGTTTCTCTTGTTAAATACACTGCTATTTGCCTAGCAGTGGATAATTCCTGCTGTAGGCTAAAGTAGGCGTGTAAAAGAGAGCAAGGCGTTAGAAAATTAAAATAAAATCTCCTTATGCTAGATGTAGCTAGTCTCCTATCTAGGATTTAGGTTCTAATAGATAAGGTAATGCTATTAATAGGCCCTAGCTATTCTTTACAGCCCTAAAACTAGAGAGTTGCTAAGACTACTAGTGTTGTATAGGCACAGCCTAATAGCTAATTACTTAGTAGATAACTGCACGCGCTAAAAAATTAAACCCTTAACACGCTTATAATCTAGACTATAAAGCGCTGGTTTAAATCTAAATCTGCAGAATTTTGCTAAAATTATAGCTTTATTAGTGCGCAAGCACAGACTATAGTTTTAAGAGCAAAGCATGCTATTACCTTGATTCTCTGCGCGCTGCTTAGGATCTACTATAATATCTCCTAGCTGCCTTAGAAACGCGCGCGTGTTCTATATAGCCTTAATTACTAGTTAGACGTAGTTAACAAGTACTACGACTTATCCTAGAGTTCTAACTTTTTTAATAGAGAGATAGGACAATTAAATAGCTGCCTAGGTAGTGATTAGTATAGACGCTAACTAGTCTAGCGTAACGCAAGGCGCCTAGGCTACTAGGTAGCAAATTATTAAAGGGGCTATTTAAATATGCTACTAGATTTACTAGTCTTAAACCTTTAGTGCGATTGAATTTGTATAAATAGCTACTAATTCCCTTCTATATATCTAAATACCCTTTATCCTATCCTTTAATTGCTAATTAATCACATCCCTTATCCTGTTTTATCCTTTTACTCGCTACCTAGATAATGCTCTTAACTTTAATGTAAGCACCTATAGCTGCCTTATATTTTCCTATAATATCTAATAGATTATAGGAAAATAGTTACTTTAGAGACAAGCTATAGATATAAACAAAGTGTTTAGCAAAGCTAAAGGTATGCTCGCGGAAGCAGCAAAAAAGTTCACTAGCGTTTCTGTAAACTAAGGCACGACTGCCTTTCTAAAGGCACTAGAAGATCTTAAGAATTTAGGTATCCGTTAGGATTTTAATAGGGAGGTAACCTAGCGTAAGCAAGTCTACAACAAGTTCTAGATCTAGCTAAATGCTAGAAAGGTCCTATTATTAATTAAAGATTAGCGCGAAAAGAATAGTAGAACGCATGCTGTAATAGGCACTATATATATAAAGAAAGGTGGCAGCAAACGCAATATGTAGGAAGCCTTTAAGAAATTTAAGAAAGACTTTAAGGATTAGTGCTCTCTACTATAGTACAATCCTTAATAATAATTAAATTTAGCTATTAACTACAAGAGCAGATTAATAATCTTGTAGATTCTAATCTAGCATATATTAATTGCTAGAAGCGTAGGGTACTAGGAGCATGTAAGATTAAGATTATTAAATTTAGGCTATCTTCAAACTATATTGTTATATAAGTTCTAAGCTGGATCTAGTTGTCCGTGATATACTAATAGATATTGTTACTATTTACAGATCCTTAGTGTCTAGCTTTAAGAGTCTAGATTGGTATTTTAAGGTAACAATGCATAGTTGTTAGCGTGCTAACATGCGAGCATAACAAACACGTCCGCTTTGTCTTGCATATTAATTTTTTAACTACCTAGGCAGCTTCTATAAGATAATAATCACATTAAGGTACTATATAGAACGGGCCAAATCCTAGGTTACATTATTAGGCTATTAGCCTAGTTGCTTCCCTAGCAACACGTGGGTCGCGCGACAACCTAAACAAAGTAGGCGCCCTAACGCTTAATAAGCAACATGCCCTATCATGTTAGACGCTATAATAAATATGTGCTCTAGACACTACTAATTAGCCTATCCTATAGTATAGATACCTTTAATAACTATAACATACTTATAATCTCCTAGCTAGACTACCTTTACTTATCCTTAATACTTTAAGACTATAATAATAGCTACTTGTAACAATATAAGTAGCTACAATATAAAGTAGTGTTATAGGAAGGATACTAACTAGATTACAGAGCATCTTAATCTATTTAACTAATCTAATCCCTAATTAATATCCTTATTCTGTACCCCTAGCAAATCTACTATCTAATTTACTACTAGCTTTCTACTAAGTACCTAATAGAAAAAGAAGCTCTAGTAATGAAGGTTTACTAAGTATATATCTTCTAGTAAGGGTAGTTAAAGCTCTATTTATATAAGTCCTATTATAGTAGATATAATTTAATAATCTACCTCCTAAATTATTCCTAACCTTAGTAATCTAAATTTCTATAGTTATAAGCCTAGCTTACGCTTTACTAACTTGTTAATAATTATCCTATCTATTTAAGTATACTACTTAAGATAATTACTTAAGCTAGTAAGCTTACTCTTTCTATACTATTTCTTAAGTAAAAGCTTACTTAATACTCTTCTACTATAAGTAATTAAATCCTAAAGGGGGATATCCTACTTAATAGATTATCTAATTAGCCTACCTAGTATATTTAGTTTAGATAGTATACCCTAAGTAAAGGGATCTAGGTAGAGGTAGATATAAAGGGCTTAGGCTTATACCTAAGCCTATATCTAATACAAGATAGGTAGAGACTAATACTACTACTAAGTAAATACGCTATACACCTATAGAAAGACATAGAGGTCTTATATCTCCTTATAATACTAAATACTATTATTAATACTTACTATATTCTTCCTTAAGGCTAGTTTATAATATATTAGTATCTTTTATTAAATATACTATAAAGGTAATAGAGATAGATATACTAGATATTTAGAATAATTAGGTGCAACCTAATATAGTAGAAAGGCTAATATAGCAGGTCTATAGATTAATAGAATAATAGGCTTAAGGCTCTACTATAATAGGTATACTATATTAGTAGAATAAGGAAATACACAATTAGATTCTATCCTAACCCCCCTCTAAGCCTGCTAGTTTTAATAACCTACTACCTCTACCCCCCTCTACCTTGCGTTATAAACCCTTCCTAGTTAGCTTACTATATAATAGCACTAAGGTAAACTTCTCCTCCTAGTAAATAACTATAGAATTTAAACTATATATAGATAAGGTCTTTATTAGGGATATAGAGGCAAAGTTTATATATATTTAGTCCTAGTTATTACCTATAGTCTAGCGCACTATAGTACTATACTTTAAGGATAGTATATATAAGCGTTAGGATATAAGTAGGTTTCTTAACTATTTAGTATTTTATTATAGTAACTATTATACGTAGAAGCGTAGCTAAGTTATATTAGAATATCTAATTTAGGGCTAAAATTAGCCTTTTATAAAGTTTTTTTAAATTTTATATAGCTTCTTATATAGTTAGGAGGTCTATACTAGAATAATAAATAGAAGCTTTTATAACTACGCTAATTACTTAATAGCTATATACGCTTAGTTTCCCTTAATAGGGGAGTCTCTAGGATAAACTATAATATAGCTATAGAAGAATATAAGATAATTAAAGTAGATATTAAAATAGCCTCCCTAGAACTAGGCTTTCTTTAAGCTAGTAAGTCTAAGGAACCCTAGTAGAAGTCTACTCTAAATTAGGATAGTAATATAAATATAGCAAAAGTAGTAGCCGTATTAAGTATACCTACTAAACTACTAATATTATATCCTAACTAGATCCTATAGGACCTATTTAATATATAAAAGCTAGTAAAGGTCTATACCTAGTATAGATAGGGTAGTTATTTTACGTAGGTATATCCTAATACCCTATTTGTAACAATAAGGCAGAATTGCCTGCCTATTATTCTATGCCAAGTCAGGCCCAATAAAGGCCTGACTTACTAATGTATATAGAGAACAGCTCACCTATAGTTAGGATAGGTATGTTCTTCTTGTCCTTTTGTACAAGACCTATAGGTGTAGGAATCTTATCCTTTTCTATATAGACGCGCACTCCTATATACCTTTAAGTTGTATAGGATACCTTTTAGATACCCTACCTACCTAAGTTGTTATATTACAAGAAGAATATTATCCTAGCTAGTAATAGTATTTAAGAATATCGCACTTATTGTTAT